GCATGCCCACACAGCGTGCCTCAAGCCACCGCCAACAGGCCAGCTTGCTTGTTCGTTTGCTTTTGCAGTTCACCAGGTTGGCTCTGATGGGAGAGACAAAGTGCGAAGAGCGGAGGATTGGCGTCAATCTGGCGCGAACAGCACGGTCAGTGTGCCAGACACCCCTGCATATCATGGTATTGATGCGTTTGTGCATGTGGCCCGGGCGCTTTCCGCAGAGTGTGCCCCGGGGGATCTGCGTGTTTGGGGCCTTGACCACGAGGCTGCCTACAGACAGCTGCCTGTAGCTAATCCTGATCATACTTTTGTCATCCTGAACACGCCCAGCGGGCCAACCTTGTGGCGCCACAACGTCTTGATGTTTGGCAGCACGGCAAGCGTATGGGGGTACTGTAGAGTTGCTGACCTCATGTCTTGGTTGGACAGGTGCCTTCTGCTGATACCAATGCTCCACTTTGTAGATGACTTTGGCGGGGTGGATAGCAGCAACCTAGCGCAGAGTGCCTTCGAATGCTCACAGCGTGTTTGCGGTGCTTTAGGCCTGAAGTTCAAGCTCAGCAAGGCTCAGCCGCCAAAGCGTGCGCACAAGTTGCAGGGTGTCTACTTGCAGTTGGGGGAGACAGAAGCCACAGTGGCCATGACACCAGAACGCGCCCAACGCCTTGACAACCAGCTCAAGCAGGTGATCTTGGACAACAAGCTGTCGCCCAAGGAGGCCTCATCGCTGGCTGGCAAGCTCCAATTCGTCACACAATCCTTGTTTGGGAGAGCAAGCGCTGCAGCATTGCGGCCGTTGTATCGGCGGGCGCACTCCGCCCACTTCCGCTCCAGCAAAGGTGGCTGGCAGCTGAGCGAGAGCATCATGGCGGCGCTGGACTTCCTCCGTCGTCGTCTACGTGAGAGCAAGCCTCGAGTGGTGCGCTACGTGGTCGAGGAGAGAGCGATAATCTATGCAGATGCGTTCTTTGAAATTGGCGGGAGGAGATATCGCCCTGCGGAAGCTGAGGAAATACCGTGCTGGGGCAGAACAGCGCCAGCGTCGTTCATCAATGGATGGGGGTTTGTGGCGTGTGTCAGCGGCAAGACAGTGTTTGCGGCCGGGTCTGTGCCGTTCTGGTTTGTCAGACACTTCTCTTCTCGCAGAGC